ATCAGCCGTAAATAGTATCAAAATCAGCCTAAAATCGGCTATCCGATTTTTAGCCGATTTGGACTATTTCGACTAGTGTTATTTAATTTATAAATTATTTGTTAATTTAGAAAGAAAAATATGATCTATAAGAAAATTGCATTTGTTATTATAAGAAATATTTTGAATAAAGAAAAAAAATCATATTATACAAAAGAATTAGAAAATAAGCAAAAAGCTAGATTAAAAATTGAATATTATCAGTATTAATATAAGGTTATCATTAAAAATAAAATCATTTATTGATAATAAAGATGTTATTAAAGAAAGCTTAAATTTATTCATAAAATAAAAAAAATTATACTTTAATTATATAAAATCTTTGTTAATGATTTCTTTTATAAATGAGAATAATTACATCAATTTCTAAAAAACATCTAAAATGTAGTTAAAAAAAATTTAGGCTTATTTCACAATTTCAAAAAAAGTTATTTATTTTAATAGACATAAGTATTCAGATATATTTGAAATATAAAACTATATTTCTTAAAAAAATGAAGGAATTTGAACAATTAATATTAAATATTTAAAAAAGATAATATAGATCAAAAGGATCTAGTTTTATTCAAAGAAAGAAAATCTCATATTTTATAACTTATAATGAATGTTTTTTTATGCTAATAATAACTATTCAATAATTTAAACATCTTTTAATGAATTATCTTTTCGTAAAAAAGTTAAGAAAAGTTAATAATAGTTGTGAATTTTTTTAAAAATAATTGGTTATTTTAGATTAATAGATGAAAAAATTCAAGTATATTTTGAAATTCTAAAAGAAGCACAAAAATTTTTATGTTTAGGTAAAAATAAAGAGAAATAATAGATAGCAAAACATTTATTTGAACAAGTAAAAGATTTTGCTATTCCAATTTTTAAAATAGTATATCTAAATACAATTATTATTTTTTGCTTTTGATAATAATATTAACTATAAAGCAATAGTAAATAATATTTTATGTGTATAATACATAAATTTTAATTTAGATGAAAGACAGTTAGTAATGAAATATACTGCATTTGAATCAGAAAATATTTTACAATTAATAGTATTTCTTTCAAATTATTCAAAATATTCAAATTAACTTAAAGATATTAAATAAATATTAATTAAAAAAAGATATAGAATAATAGTTTACATTTTGATTATCAGTTATATAAGAAAAAACAAATTAACTGATCTAATAAGAATTAATTATGCATGTAAAATTATGTCTTTACAATCTGATTTTTTTGCATAAAAATTAGAATTGAAAATAATAATTGTGAAAGCTAAACATAATATATTTTTTATTTAAAATTTTATTATAAGTAAAATGTATTTGAAAAATAGCAAAAGATATACATGTGAGCATTATGAATATATAGAATATATTACAAAAAACTGTTCTAAAAGCATTAAATTTATTTTATTAGTTGAAATAAGATGTTTGCAAGAAAATCATGAAGATATATAAATATATATAAGAAAAAAAATTATAAATCACAGAAAAAGTTCCTGATGATATACTTAATAAATTATTTAGAAAATAAATAATAAATAATAAATTCGTTTAGGCAACATTAAATATTATATTGGCCAATCAAATTCGCTCTAAGTCATGTGATTTTGTGTTATGTCAGCAAAAAAAAATTGAAAAATTTTTTAATTGCTTAATTAATTTGCCTTATCTAATAACAAATTTATAAAATTCTGATCACTAGATCGTAAAATATTTTTGGGTCTATTATAGAGGTACCGCGCTGTATTATTTTTAACTAAATAAGAAACCATTCAAATATGACTTTGTTATGAAAAAACCATACAAAACTTGATTTTAATTAGCTCACTTTATATTTTTCCTGGCTTACAATCATATATAATGATGGACAAAACTATTACTATTTCTGATGAAAACAGCATTACTAATATTCGATAATTTGTGGGTTTTATTCATGTGACTTTGAAATGTTTTCTCGATTATCTAAATTTCATTTTCCATACCAAAAGACTTTTTTATCAACAATGTCTTCTACAACCTATAGTTCTTTCAAGCTTGCATGTATTCAATTAAAAGTTACATCTGATAAGAGCGCGAATTTAATTAATGCGAAAAGTAAAATTTTGGAAGCATCGAGGAATGGTGCTAAAGTTATCGTTTTGCCAGTAGCTATTATATTATGATTATTATAAATGTTTTTGATTTGTTCAATTTTATTTCAATTTCTTTATTTATCTTTAAAAATATTAGGAATGTTTTAATTCACCTTATGGGACAAAATATTTTTCAGAGTATGCAGAAAATATTCCACAAGGCGAAAGTGTGAAAACCCTTTCCGAAGCAGCAAAGGTGAATCAATCATACAATTTAAATTAATCAATATATAGATAGATAGATATTTTATTAAAGTTATATATTTGATTGACATTTTTGTTAGGAAGCCAAAGCATTTGTTGTTGGAGGTAAATGACCCACATATTTCGCTTCAAATAATTTGATTTATCTATTTAAACTTTGGTAAATGAAGGATCTATACCGGAACGAGATTCATCTGGAAAGCTATATAATACTTGTACCGTGTACGATACTGAGGGTAATTAATTTCGATGTCTATTAAATCATTTAACCTTTTTAATTCGATGTATCTTAAGTTTTACCTTTTTTTTTTTTAAAAAAAAAAAAAACAATTTTTAATAGGAAATCTTATTGTGAAACATCGCAAAGTTCATTTATTTGATATTGATATTCCAGGAATGATAAAATTTCAAGAAAGTGAAACATTATCCCCTGGGAGTTCCTTAACACAATTCGAAACTGGTTTGTCAACAATTTATCGTGTCATCATAAAGACCTTAGATCGTTAAATAATACCAACTTTATATCAGATTATGGAAAGATTGGAATCGGAATTTGCTATGATATGAGATTTCCGGAGATGGCCATGATTGCTGCTAGAAAGGGATGTATTGCAATGATATATCCGGGTGCATTTAATCTTACAACTGGTCCATTACATTGGGAACGTAAGTTTTCCATTTTATAATGTTTTAATAGTTTAACTTATTATTCATTTTATTTTGTGAAACAGTCTTACAAAGGGCTAGGGCTTTGGATAATCAAGTAGGTATATGCGAGAATTGTCGTTCGAGAATATGCACGATTAAGTTTCAAATCAATTTATCAAATAGTTCTTTGTGGCTACGTGTTCACCTGCTCGAGATATGAAATCAACTTATAATGCATGGGGCCATTCTACTGTGACTGATCCAAAGTAAGTTTAATATATATGGGGTCATACTTTTCTAAGTAATGAACGCTCATTTCTCATGTTCCAGAGATTCTCTAACATGTTAATTCATAAATTTTTAATAATGTTCTTAGCGGACAAATTGTTGCAACCGCGGAACATGACGAAGCAATTATTTATGCTGATATAGGTAAAGAAACATATTAATTTGTGTATTTTTTTTTGGTGACTTTAAAACATTTTTTTCTAAATTTTATTTTTTAGATTTGGAAAAAATTAAACAAACTAGACAAATGATACCAGTATCATCACAAAGGAGATTTGATCTATATCCTGATATCTCTGCTCATAAATGAATTAAAATTTAGGTTTAGTGATCGATTGTAACGTTCATTAATGATTAATTATAAACTTTTAATCCGGTAATAAATTGATTTAATTAAATAAAGTTGGATATCAAATACGGGTACGTCCCCTTCATACACGACATTAGCTGCATAAACCATAATTATTTGGGAATAACATTTTACGTGACACAAACCAAAATCTGATCAGGTTGATCCTGGAAATACAATAATCGGTTCCTAAATAATCTTTATTTACCAATAATAAAATGCTGATTTTAAATATAATAAATTAAATGGTTTGGTTTAAATGATCAGACAAATTAAATACATAAAATACGATATTTATTTTATAAGATAAAATTATAGTTAAAATTTTTGATATAAATCCTTTCAAAAATATTCACTTTTTGAATTTTTTTTTTTTTTTTCCCTTGCTTAAATCTTTTCATCATGAACTCTTTCAAAGTTAGCTTTAATAAATCTTTTCATAATAAGAGAAATGCAAATTCTCTTTCATCAAGTAAATTCAATATTAACACTTTAAATAGGGTTCCTTCAACTTCACAAACAACCAGCACTTTAACTGAATTTAATGGTATGCACTCCTCAGGAATTAAAACTACTAACGAAATTTCAAGCAATGAAGAAATTCTTTTGGAACCATATAATTATTTATTATCTCATCCTGGTAAAGAGATCAGAACTAAAATGATAGAAGCTTTTGACTATTGGTTTAAAGTTCCAAAAGATCGACTAAATGTCATAACTAAAGTAATTGAAATGTTACATAACGCTTCTTTGTTGTAAGTATTAGCTGTCATTTTTATTTTTTTAAAAAAAAAGTTTGTTTTAATCGCAAATGAAATTTAGGATTGATGACGTTGAAGATAGTTCTACTTTAAGACGAGGAGTTCCTGGTAAATTTCGATCACTTGAATGCTGCATGTCGATCTTAAACTTTTTATTTACCGTTACCATTTATTAATTGAATTAATCATAGTTGCGCATCACATTTATGGAGTTCCTGCAACTATCAATTGTGCCAATTATGTCTACTTTATGGCTTTAAGTGAGTTGGCCAAATTAAATAACCCTAAAATGTTCAATATCTATACCGGTATGTGTATGAAAAACATCTGCTATACTAGAAAAAAATAAGCCTAGACTGGTTTCAGAAATTTTAATTAATGACTTTGTTAAACTTGGTAGAGGAGTTATTAAATTTACATCGTGGTCAAGGAATGGAGTTGTATTGGAGAGATACATCAACTTGTCCATCCGAAAAAGAATTCATTGAAATGGTCTCAGACAGTAAGTGATCGAATAATTTTACGGGGATTTTTGGTTTGCTGCGCCGTGAATTTTATTGTTTGGTTTACACGATTTTTTCTTAGAAACCGGAGGATTGTTGCGTCTTGCTGTTAAACTTATGCAAGAAGCTAGTTCTTCAAATGAAGATTATATTGAATTAGTTAACCTCGTTGGAATTCATTTTCAAGTCCGCGACGATTATATGAACATGCAATCTCAAAAGGTAACCGCAGCAAGCTACTTGCTTATTAAGTACAAAAAACGTTCAGCTAAAAAATTATTTTCATTTATTTTGTTCAGTATGCTGATAATAAAGGATTTTGTGAAGATTTGACTGAAGGAAAATTCTCTTTTCCAATTATACATTCAATTCACGCCTCTGAGAATTCTAATCGTCAATTAATCTGTAAGTATCCCGAATTATTTCGTATTGAAGTTTCTTAACGATGGTGAAAAGTTAGTGTGTGAAACCTTGATCTTTGTAATCTTATTTCCTCACTTTGTAAATTTTAAAATAGATATTTTGAAACAACATACGACGTCAATTGATTTAAAGCATTTTGCGGTAAAAATCATGCAAGATACAGGTTCATTTGAGTATACAAAAAATTATTTATCTAAAACCGAAGAAAAAGCGAGAAGTGAATTAAAGAGATTAGGTGGTAATCCTATTTTGGAAAGAATTATGGATTCATTACATGTTGAATAATAAAAAAATGGTTACATAATTATAAATTACATACTGTTAATTATTTAGCCATATTATTTTTATAGATTAAGTAGAGTAGCAATATTTTTTTTTAATTATTTTTTTAAATGATATAATTTTAGAGTTCTAATTGGTCATAAAACATATATTATTTTATTAATTAATTCACTTAAATTAGAATTAATTAAATTAAGAAAAATGAACAAAGAGCAAAGTCTGTTTGATATTTTTCATTTAACAACGAATTTTTTGGCGAAAAAATTTTTATAAACAAATACGATAAAGCTGTTAAAATCATAATAAATACCTTGTGCTCCGAGAACAAAAAATTTGGATGATCATGCCAAATTTGGATGTCAAGACAATAAACTTTGACGTGAAAAAAAAATCCCTCGCAAACATTATTTTTTAAATCATGATTTTTAATTTTGTTAAAAGTAATAATTTA